GGTTTAGGGTTCGGGGGTTTCGGGGTTTTGGGTTTACGGTTTAGGGGGTTTGGGTTCAGGGTTTAGGGCAAAGTCTGGGGTTGAGGTCTTGCGTTTAGGTTTTAGGCTTAAGGGCTTCGGGCTTCCGTTCTGGGCGAGTTTGACTTGGAGCCGCCGTTTTAGGGTTTAGGGTTTAGGGTTTAGGGTTTAGGGTTTAGGGTTTAGGGTTTAGGGTTTAGGGGGAAATCTTTGTGGAAGTCAGCAGGTCCCACAGGGTTATGGGCGTTTCGGGGGTCTTAGAAGGGTTTAACCAGCGCAGCTTGTGGAAAGGGCTCTTCTAGTTGGGTAATGTGGGAGCCTTTATGATTAGAATGGGTTTTGGGGGGGTATATGATACTATAACTATAATAAGGAACCCCCAAAATAAATTTAGGCTCCTCAGTAGCCAGGCGAGTCGTGCGTTGTCGGGGCCTCAGGGAGCTGTTTCGCCATGCTGTCTTCAACTTGAGGCGTGCAGTTTGTGCGTTCGGGATGACTGGGTTCTCTGCAGGGGTTCGTTGGGAAAGTGCGCTGAGCAAGCTTCCCTGTGATTCTTCAAGCGGCGGAAGATGGAAGTAATTTTCGAATCGCCGTGCTTTTCTCGGACGGCGGCCGGAGCAATTGGTAATACCTACGTCGAAGTTTTTAAAGAGAGACGACAGAAAACCCATGGAGAGTCAAGTGGTAAGAGGGCTCCGCAGTACCATGTGGGAGGCATCGCCGAGCATGGACGACATCTGCAAGTGGGGCCGTGGGTTTCAAGCAAAGGTTGCCATGCATGAGGCCGACTTCTAGCGCTACAGTGTTTAAGTCCCGGCGAAACTCTAAGATCAATCTTTCTTTCCGCATCCCGAAGAAGATCCGCCCTATCGGCGCCGGTAGACTTCGGGGAGCCAGCGGAACAAAGGGTTTAGGGTTTAGGGTTCAGGGTTCAGGGTCTCAGATGTTCTAAGTCGCAAGGTCGTGACTGCGTTGATGCTAGCTAGATTCCTCCCTCAATGCATCCATCCGTCCATAGTTACATGCATATACAGACATTCAGACTGATAAGCAGAGGGACACGTATACCGTTTTGGTATGGATGATTCCAGAGTCTCAGACTTTGGTCTGTTTAGCATCAGGCAGGGCTGAAGGTGCAGGGCGAAACACAATGCCTGAGCACCAGGTGAGCACCGAAGGAAGGCAGCTCGAGCTCCGTTGTAAACCCTAAACCCGAAACCCTAAACCCTAAACCCCTGCATTTCGGCTTCCAGCTGTGGGAGGTAGCGGCCGGCAGGTCTGCGGACGAGTGAAGATGTTGACAGCCACAGATGCAGAGCACTGCGGGCACGTCACTGTATACGTCGAGTCTGATTTAAAGCCAACGCCAAAGCTCAAACCGGCCTGTTGTGCTCCGATGATGAGAGCTCGCCTCACGTTGCCTCTCGCGCTGTGCCAGCGGCGTGTAGCGGAAGGCGGTGGCAGAAGCGCTGCTGATCCTGTAAGTGTAGCAGTGTAGCATTGAGACTCACTCTGCTCGCCTATTCACTTCTGTGGCCTCAGCATTCAAACCGAGTGAAGGCAAGCACCCTGTGCCTGTGCTTGGGTTTGCAATTCTGGTTAGGCTCATTCAGGAGTAGACAGGAGTTGCATGGGTTTTGAACATTCTCTCCCCTTGCCAGCCTGTCCTGCCTGTGCCATGGCATCACATGCGACGCTTCAGCCGGGGCGCTACATGTATCAAGAGGGACCTGCCCAGAGCACCTTCGAGATAGTATGGCAGGAGTCCCAGTCACAATATCTATTCTCGCAGGCTCTGGACGGCCAGGGGCCACGGACGGGTGTACTCGAATGCTTTGAGAGCGGGCAATGGAAGGCGTCTCTATGCAGCACTTCAAGCACGCCCTCGTTGGTCTTGAAGCTAAAGCCACTGTCTTCGACTCCCTGTGTGCTGCAGATGGATCGTTCTGATGGCCTTTGCTGCCGAGCACAGCGACTGGAAGAGTCCGAAGAATGGAAGGCGATCGTGGCGAAGCCAGTGGACTCCGGGGAAGCGATGCTTATCACGGCGTCACCGGGCAGTGGCAAGAGCACCCTGCTGAGAGAATGGTGTCGAGGGAGGCCTAACAACAACATACTCGTGCTGGCTTTCAACCGGGCGGTGTCCGAGCAGATGAGGGTAAACTTCAGAGAGCTCAGCAACGTGACAGTGAAGACCATCCACGCAGTCGCTCACGGGGCCACGCGGCATCTCCACAATGATAAGGTGGGAGAAGTATCAGGAACAGAACTCAAAAGCTTTCTAGAGTGTCGGACGTGGGACGAAGTCGACAGCCAAAGGAAGAGGCTCATGGAATCTGGGTCCTTGTTGGATACAAAGTTACATTTTTTGTTATAGGAAAACCCAATAAGGATTAAACATGATCATTCTTGATATAGTCCCAACAGGGAATCAGGAATTTTGTTCGTCTGCTTCTGATCGGCTGCTTGGCCATCCGGATCTTCGAATGCGACAGCGGCACAGAGCCCTGTGGGAGCACTTTGGATCGGGAAGGTGAGGGTGAGTTGGGCAAAGAGTTTCGCATTCTTTTCGGTGTGTTGGGGAGGGATATCGCTACCTTAGTGGGCTTCATTGTAAGGGGGTGTATATGGGATATCCCTATCCAAATGTGGTCAGTCTTTGTAAAGTTAAGGGTCCGCGTTTCAAGCCTTCGTGTCATCAACGCCCTGCCTGTGCAAGAAGGTGCTCCTTCAGAATGCCTCACGATGTGTACTTGAAGTTCTTCCAGCTGGACAAGTCTCTTCGAGACCAGGCTTTTGCCGACTACGACACCATTGTCCTAGACGAGGCGCAGGATTGCACAGACTGTATGTTGGACGCGGTCAAAAGCAACCAGGTCGCACGTGTGATGGCATGTGACCCGCGACAGAACATCTGTCAGTTCAGGCACGTCACTGGGGACTGTCTCCGCGGCATGCAGGTGGATCATCGAATGAGTCTGCCACAGAGCTTTAGGTTCGGGGAAGCGATTGCAACCTTCTTGACGAAAGTTGCCCAGAAAACCCCGCCGCCGGTAGATGCGGGTTTCACAGTACGCGGACTGCCGGGCGTTGAGTCTCGTCTCTGCTTGGATGCCGATCCGCATGAATCGATTCTCCAGCTCTTGCGGGACGGCAAGAGGGCGGTCGTGCTCGCTAGGAAAAACAGTACTCTCTGGTTGGAGGCCATGAGAGTGTTAGCAGACATGGATGATGACAAGGCAGCTGCTTTCATCGGCGGCTTCGACGAGTTCAAGAAGTCGCAGCTGACACCTGTCCTGGACCTGTTCTTCTTGGGCGAAGGCCGACAAGCCGACATCAGGTCCCCTTATGTCAACAAGTTCAGAAGTCTGGACTCATTTCGGAGCCTTTGCGAAGATAAGGAGGACATGGATTGGCTACCCAAGTTCAGCCTTTTCGACTCACTGAGCAGGAAGATGGGGTCTCAAAAGTTCGCGGAGTACCTTGACGAGGTCGCGGACAAGCTCTCGGCACAGAGTCATCAGGCGGATGTTGTGTTCGCCACAGTTCATCAGTTCAAAGGTCTCGGCTTCCAGAATGTGATACTTCTTGAGGATTTCTTGGAGTCCTACACCGAAGAGGAGTACAACATCTTCTACGTGGCGTGCTCTCGGGTGTCCACTGGCACACTTTTCGTAAGCCCGGGGACCATGCGCCTCTTAGAATCCGGAAGCAATCGCAGGAAGCGGCCTCGTTCACTTCAAGATTTCGATGACTACTTCGACGATGATTTCTTCGAAGACATGAATCCGCTGGGCGACGGGGAGGATCTCGCTGACTACGACGACGATTTGTGCGATGAAATGGATCCACTCGAGGAAGACTCTTTGCCACCTTCGGATGAAGAAAGTGCATATGACGGAGACCAGGAGCCATGAGGCAATCGATGATGGACCATAAACAGCTGGCCCGGCGTCTTGCTTTCAGGGGCGTGTTTTTTGACTCCGCAAATGTACCCGCAGGATGACGATGATAGGCCTTGTACAGAGGATTCATGGCAAAGGGCAGCGTACTTTGAGTGTACAGTCATGATGCCAGTGCCATGGGTGTCTGCCTGCAGGCACACCCGAGTGTGTGCAGGACTGGCATCTCCAACACTCACGGTTCAGATTGAACTGGAACCATAAACCCAAACCCGAAACCCGGAACCACAACTTCTTTACAAGCGCATAGAGGCATGGAGTTCTGCATGCTGTGATCCCCCAACTACAAGTGCTAGCAACGACGATGGGCTGTGGGCCCCTCATAGATAGTCACCACGTGCATCAGTTCTCCTGTGATTCTTTAGGGTTTTAGGGTTTAGGGTTTAGGGTTTAGGGATCACAGGAGCATGACGCTGCCTGGGCACACCGTGCTATTGATGCTGCTTGGAGGGCCTAGAAGCTGAGCGACAAACGGTGCGGGGCTTGCTTCCCATTGCCGCCAGCAGTATGACTGTTGTTGTGAGACACTCGGTTCGGAGGCCTCAAAAGGTGGGATTATGGTAGGTGGGATATTCCCAAATTAAGAGTCCTGAAATAAGGGATCCTTAATCCTACCTACCTTCATCCCACCTTTTGAGGCCTCCGATCGGTCATCTTGCTGTTGCTTCTTTAGGCTTCTGCCTTGTTGTGGTATCGCCAGAATGAAATGTGCTATCGTACGTCGCATTGCAATACCCTGTAACGGATCCATTTCAGGCCCGCTTCGTTCGTTACATCTGTAGCCTGATGCATTGCAAGCATCATCTTGTTTGTTTGATCGCTTGTGCTTGATTGAATACTTGAATGAATACAGTGTAGCTCAATAACGCATGTAATGGTAGCGAATGTGTACTTTCGGCATCCTCGCCTCTACCATCGCCACCGTCATCTGTTGGGACCACCATAAATGCCATCCTTTCCAAGCCCTACACCCCCGCATCCCAAACCCGAAACCCCTAAACCCCTACAAGAAACAGACATCCTAAACCCTAAACCCTAAATCCTAAACCCTGAATCCTAAACCCTAAACCCTAAACCCTAATCTAACCTGAATCAGGTGTGCGCCACTTTGCAGCCTATGCCACTGCTCGGGAGCTCCGGGAAGCGTGAGCCGACTTCAATCCTATGGCTTAGGGTTTCAGGTTTATGGTTTAGGGTTTAAGGTTTAGGGCTTAGGGTTTCAGGTTTATGGTTTAGGGTTTAAGGTTTAGGGTTTAAGGTTTAGGGTTTAGGAAACCCTAAACCCTAAACTCTAAACCCCTTTTTGAGGTGTCGGCAGGGCAGCTTTGCGGCGCACACCACCGGGGAGGCCCCTGGGTTCGCCACTCGGAGCTTCCGTTTTGGGGGTTCAGGGTTTAGGGAGTTTAGAGTTGAGGGTTTAGGGCTTAGGGAGCTTCGGGAGTTTGGGGAGTTTAGGGTACAGGGGTTTAGGGTTTCGAGTTTAGGGTTTAGAGATTAGGGTTTAGGGAGTTTAGGGTTTAGGGTTCAGGGTTCAGGGTTCAAGGTTTAGGGTTTAGCGGGTAGGGTGTAGGGTTTAGGGATTTTAAGGGTTAGGGTTTAATTAGGGTTTAGGGTTTAGGGCGTGTGTACAGTGCGCGCGCGGTGTGTGCGCTTGTCGCTTTGGGAATAGGGGCCCACCCGCTTATCGCAAACTTGCGTCAGCATGTAGTCCCGCCCCAACCATGCACCCCAACTTATTATTCTCAATCAGGGTTTAGGGTTCACCCCCAAGCCCCCTTCAACGGGGGCTTTCTTGCTCTCTGCTTTCCTTCGCAATTCCCTTCGCAATTCTGATGAGAATGAGCGTTTCGCGCAAAAGCCACAACTGAAATGGATTCGTGTCGGGCTGTGGGTCCTCGCGGCCTGTGCCAGCCGCTCGACAAGGAGCACGGGTCCCTAAACCCTAAACCCTAAACCCTAAACCCTAAACCCTAAACCCTAAACCCTACTCGCACGCTGTCAGGGTCGCTTTTTATGAAAACTTCTGGCCTGAGAGCTTGGGATCGGCTTTGCAAATGGGTAATTCTCTAAATTAGGGTCCCTTTTAGGGTCCTTTTTATAAGGGTGCCGTACTATGTTGGGGACCTAAAAAGGGACCATGATTTAGAAAACTACCCAAATAGAGGCTAGAGCAGGCTTCGAACGGAGGTTTGGGTGGCCGCTTTTCTTGGAAATTGGGCAGGTCTCATGGAAGCTGCCGATTGAACAGGCCTTAATTTTGTAAGCAGGTGGCCCCTGGTCTGGTGGTGCTGGGGCTATTCTTGGGAATGGGTGGGGATGTGTTCAGGGTTTGGGGTTTCGGGTTTTTAAGGTTTAGGGTTCAGGGTTAGAGAACTCAGGAATACTGGTGCAGTCGGATGAGTTTCAGGCTTTGGTGGCTTAGGAGGTAGAGTGTCATGATGGGTGCGTTAGGTGCTGTAAGCCCACGGTTTTGTGGGCTCTTATTATCAGCCCTAATACGGAAGTTTTAGGGCCCCTACAAAAAAGTAGGCTCTTCTGGCATGTTAGGGTAGGGATTTGGGTGAGGCCAGTGTGGGAGTGCCTCCTTTCCGTCTTCCGAGGATAGGACAGCATCCCTCGGGCTGGTTATCTAGAGCCCGGACGTGAGCCCTATAATCAAATCCCAAGCCCTAAATCCGATTAAATCCTACAGCGTAAATCCCAATTTCCCAACCCTAAACCCTAATTCCTGAACCCTAATCCCTAAACCGTCTTGGAGAACCATCAACAGACCTAGCCGATCTTCAAGACTCCGTCCCAAGTCATCCACGCCGGTTCTTTGCAGCAGCTTTCAGTTCGATTGAGTCATGGCAAGGGGGCTTTTGTCTGTGGCCGTGTGTTGTGGTGGGAAAATAACCTCAAACAAACATGACCCTAAAACCTAATCCCTATACCCGGAATAAACCCTAAACCCTAAACCCTAAACCCTAGGACCCCTAAGAGAGTTTAAGACTTTATTGCTGAGGTCCAGGCAAACTTGGTGATTCTTCCGGGCCAGTATGCTGACGACTTCCATCAGTTCTGCCCCCTAACTGCAATGCTTTTCGGGTTCAGACTTTAACCCTAAACCCTAAACCCTATACCCTAAACCCTAAACCCTAAACTGCAATGCTTTTCGGGTTCAGACTTCATACAGCTCAGGACTAAAGCGAGTTTAGATGCGAGGACTTTGGAATATCAGTGCTACTCTGCTTGGGTACGCCGCGTTTTGATGTGAGCTACCGCCGGGGTGCTGCGGCCTCTGTGCACGTGAAGGGATGCCCCGGAAAACTAGCTGAACAACCTCAAAGGAAAATCCGAAGGCTTGACTCCTTTTCCCTGCACCCTAATGAACCATACTCCAGCAATAATCGCTCTTAGTGCTTTGGACGCTTAACTTTAAGACTAGGTTTTTGAAAGCTTTCCGAGCAGAAAGCGTTAGAGGAATCCTGCATTCTGAATCCCGCTCTTTGGCCTCATGGGTGCCTTTTGATAGAATTTGGGATTTCGGCTGCCGGCGGGTTTGGAGTCTTAGCATTTAAAGTTTTAGGGTTTAGGTTGTGTGAAGTTAGTTCGGAATTGGGATTTACGAGCATTTGGGATTGAAGTTCTCGGTCGTCCGAGAGTGCAGCAGACGGGTGTTCGCTTATGAAGTGCAATCGCTGTGCAGCGTTGGCCCGCTGATGCTCCCGGAATGCGGAAAGCCAATTACGCCGTCTCATTGCGTATCGGGTCCCGAATGCAACAAGAAACAAGGTAGACCTCGATACCAATCGTTCGGCAAGCCATAGGGGCGGGAACCAAATATTCGCTCTCGTGGTTTTTGTCCGGCGTTTAGGGTTTAGGGGTTTAGGGTTTCCCTAAACCCTAAACCCTAAACCCTAAACCCTAGGTTATAGGGGGGAACGAAGGGCCAGGGTACAGGGCCTTGGCTTTGGGTCTGATTATGGCGGCAGGGCAAGCAGCGTCACCCAAGTCACACCCATAGTGCCGAGCAAGTCTTCGACACGTGTTCGGCTCTTCAATGATGAATCCCGTATCTTCTTTTCCCGAAAGGTCCCAGGCTCAGATCCAATAATAGATATGTTGTAATCAAAAAAATCTAATGTGTATACTGTTGCAGTATGAATTATATTCAGAACGTCGGCACAACCTTAGCACAATTCGGCACCAGTAGACTCATGGAGCCCGTGCACGAAGTGATTCTTCAGCCCCGACCCCGGAAAACTTGGCCAAAAGCTCTCTGATTGCAAACCAAGCACGAACTCCGAGGAAATCCTGCAAGCTACCCTAAACCCTAAACCCTAAACCCTAAACCCTAGGTGCCTCGAATGCGGCTCCATGCCCCCTCCTGGAATGCACGGATCCGGGTGATTGGGAGCCGCGGCGGTTGGCGCCAGGGGCGGATGTCAGACGCCTGGGCAGAGGATTGGTTCCCAGAGACTCCAAAACCCCTAAATTGAGGAATATACCTTAAATTATGATAGGATCCCTAATATGATTTAAGGTATATTACTTAATTAAGGGGTTTTGGAGTCTCTGGGTTCTGCAAAGGACAACGAAACCCTGAACCCTGAACCCCAAAACCGGCTGCTGTTCGCTTTAGTTCTGCCACTACTACGCCGAAGCGGGAGGCCGCCGAGGAAGAGTAGGTGGATCTCGGAAATCCTGCACCGCCCAGATGCTAATTTCATGCGCATAGTTCAGATCTGTGGTAAGTGTCAACGGTTCTGTTCTAAGCATCTTCAGTCATCAATCGTGCAACGTCGCAGCTGCATAGCTGAACGCAGGACTTTCAACATCCCAACAAATGAAAACAATGATATTGCGCGTCGGGGCAGAAAGAGTCAGTAAATGTTCGAACATATCACTACTCAACCCCTCTGTTTGACGAGGCTGTGTCTCAGGCTCGTGTGCCCCGACCCAGCTTTCGTAGC